TCTACAACTCAATGACCAATGGTTATGTGCTCAGAACTATACTTGATCCTCCGCCTATGTTTCAAAGTCCCTCTCTTGTTCCCTCTAATTCCTTTTCTTTTCTTTGGTATTACCCAGTTTCCCATGTACTAACTTTAAGTCTCTCCATGCTTCACTTTCAAGGAACAGATCTGGCTCCTTTCTTCACAGTAAATAATATGAGTTGGTCCTGGTAGGGGGTAGGAAGAGAGGGACAATGAGTAAAGTCCTGAACAGCACCTCAGCAGCTAACGTGGTGAAACAGAAGCACGAGTGGGTGACCGAGTAAAGACAATTGCAGAGTTCTTATTTCTATTCAAGATTTAAATAACTCCTTTCTTATCAAAATAAGTATGTCAGCATCAATAATCTGCTGATTATAAAATATATCCTTTGCAGAGAAGGAGAAAATTAACATTTAATGAGTAACTGCCACCCGCCTGCACTGTGTAAGGCCAGTGGTGCTCAGTGTTTTAGTAGTCAAGGACTCCTCTCAGATTCCTGTGGAAGCTATGAAATTTCTCCCCTAGAAAAATGCAATGTGTATAAAATTTTACATAAGAATTACAAGGGCAAACAATTATCCTGAAGCCCATCCACAGACTCTAGATTAATACCCTCTGTTCTAGATCCTTACATCTGTTAACCCACTGAGACCACAGTACTGCAGAGAACATTCCTGCATTATAGATGAGGGAACAGAGAGGTTTAGGGATACAGCTAAGGTCATATTATATATATAATAAGTAGCTGCTATGACTAAATGATTATATTCCTTCAAAATCCATGTTGAAACCCGATCCCCAATTTGAGAGGGGGAGGTGGAGCTTTTGGGGGGTGTTTAGGTCATGAGGGCAGAACCCTAATAAATGGGGTTAGTGCCCTTTATAAAAGAGCCCCAAGGCTTGGCGCCTATAGCTCAACCGGCTAAGGCGCCAGCCACGTACACCTAAGGTGGCGGGTTCGAATCCCCAGCCCGGACCCGCCAAACAACAATGACGGCTGCAACCAAAAAAAAATAGCCGGGCGTTGTGGCAGGCGCCTGTGGTCCCAGCTACTTGGGAGGCGGAGGCAGGAGACTCGCTTGAGCCCAGGAGTTGGAGGTTGCTATGAGCTGTAATGCCACGGCACTCTGCCCAGGGGGACAGCTTGAGGCTCTGTCTCAAAAAAAAAAAAAAAAAAAGAGCCCCAAGAGAGATCCTTGTCCCTTACACCACATGAGGTTACAACAAGAAGATGGAATTCTATGAACAAGGAAGCAGACCCTTACCAGAAACAAATCTGTTGGCACCTTGATTTTGAACTTTCCAGACTCCAGAACTATGAGAAATAAATTTCTATTGCTTATCAGCCCATGCTATTCTGTTATAATAGCCCAAACAGTGGCAGGAAAAAAAACATCTTCCACCAGAGTTGTCTAAAGACTACACCCGCTTGACCCAAGTGAAAATATCAAGCCACTTTTATTGTTACTATACCTATCATGCCTTATTTTAAAAGGAGGGAATAAAGACCAGAAGAGAAACTACAACTGTGCAATACATTCTAGACTTTGCTGCAGGAAATCAGGAAGCTCAGAATCCCGAAGTTTCCAATCCCACCTCTTTTTTTTTTTTTTTTTTTTGAAGTTTTTGGCCGGGGCTGGGTTTGAACCAACCACCCCTGGTATATGGGGCTGGTGCCCTACTCCTCTGAGCCACAGGCGTCGTCCTCCAATGCCACCTCTTATCAGCCAAAAGCCTCACTCCTCCTGAACCCACCTACCCAGCTAGATAATAAGCCAAAAAGAAGTCTTTCTTAGAGACCTCACATTCCTCAAACCAAAAGGGAACTTTTCTCTTCAAAATAATCCATCAGTCAAAAGGTAAACCAAAAAACCAGGCAAAGCCTATGGATATGAAACAAATTTAATTTCAAAATATTACATGAATATAAAAGAAACACAATACATAAAATTGTTTCTTTACAATTACATATATATAGCCAAATAAAAACAACACATTTTTAAATGGTGAAATAGTTAAGAAACCTTGTTTCTCTTGTTGAGTGAATTCAGGGATAGTAGTACAAAGGCAATACTTGCTATGAAGAACAACCCTGGGATACAGAAATGTTTCTCCTGACAGGTTCTGCTGGTCCCCAAACATGTCTGGGAGAGTGCTCAAAGGCTCTTTAGCATGGGCTGTGGCCTCACACACTCCAGTTTCTATGGCAGTCCAAGCACTCAGGCTATTATGCAATCCACCTCCTCACTAGCCTACCTCCATCAGCTACACCAGTAGAAAGATCTCAGCACAACATTTTACAGTGAGTTTTAGACTGAATTAATCACCACTGTTTATAAAGCTTGTGCAGCTAAGGAACCCAAATCTTCCCAAAATTCTAAGGCAATCCTGCCAAATGCTGGTATCCAGGTTTAGATCTAGGTCCTACCTTCAGTATAAAGGGCTTAGGGTGGAAGAGGGCAAGGATGATGCTCTCTCCTGGGGAAAGGAGTTCCCAATAGATAGGACCTCAGAAAGGGAGCAATTAGCTGCAAGCTAATGTGAGGCCCTTTAGGAAGTAAAGAAACAAAGTCCAGAAACACCCATTCCCAAAGATGGCTTCCAGTTATACCTGGTCACATGGCCAGTCACTGTACGGCACAGTCCCAGTGACCATAGGTTCTCTTAAACCTTATGTTAACATGGGATCTTGTGAAAGAAGCTGAACAGGAATATTCCTATTTGGGAGGAGAGAATGGCCTTGCTCTAACACTCTGGGGAATCAACTGGTTTCCTTGCAGGCCAGACAAAACCACCACCTCTGGAGCTCCTAGTAGCCACCAGTTAACAGTTCTGCATGACCTCATGTCCCAAGGGTATTCCTTTGTCATTTCTGAATGACTCTGAAGGACATTCAGAGTAAAGAGTTTTCCTTTCTGGAAGATCAACTATCAACTGTGGTTTCAGTTATGACTCATTACTTGTTCCTTGTTCCTTTCATATATTTTGACACCCAGGTACAATCACTATCCCCTGATCCTCTTTCACTCTTGTAGTGGGGTTTTTCAAACCAGATTTATTGGTCCTAGTACAAAAGTTCACCACTGTAAAAGGTGAGAAACTCTAGTCCCTATGGTTTTCACTAATTCAACCAGTGTAGCTCACCAAGTGCAGGTCTGCATTAAGAAAGTGGTCTTCGCTTTTTATCTTACGTCCCACTAGCTCAAATGCAATGTCGCACATTAATACTATATCAAAACCAATTGCAGTTAACCCCTAGGAAGAAACAAAATGTTAAAAGCCATAAATAGAGGCAATTCCAAAGAGATTGTTCCAACATGAAAAATAAACGTAACAAAACAGATTTTTAATAACCTTATAGATTAAAAAAAAAACTTGTTAAATACTGGCTCAAAAATATTACAATACCTGCCTACCAAGTTGGAAAGGAGATAGCATTCCACTGTGGTCAATGATAAAAGGTTTTTGTCTAAGTTTTTGGTAAGATTCCACAGGATTAAAATAGTTACATATTACAAGGTAGAAGATTATGCTGCTTACTCCTCAAATTTGGATTCTAACTGGATCACAGCTTTTATGACAAAAATGACCTATAAAACCCTGAAAGCAAGGGAAAGCATATTCAATAAATAAACAGAACACATACACCCAAATACACACACCAACTGATTTTGGGGACCAGCCATATAAAAGCATGTGCATATGATAAATATCTCTCTCACTACCCTCGCCCAGAACACAAGTCTCATTTACTGAGTCCATTCACCCAAAGAGCACCTCCTGAATCTCAGCTACCTTCCTGAAACAAAACTAACTCAATGACAAGGAGGCCTCAGGTCACTGTTCTGCTCTCTCCACCTGATGCCAGCCCATCTTTAACAGACCACACAACTACTCCAGGACGTACACTTAGATGAATAAAGACAAGAAATACTCTATTAAGGGAGAATGCTACTCCAATTTGGAATTTCTGACTGAATTACTGATATTAGGTAGAAAGAATTTCATCTTTTCTCAATAAGAAAAAAAGTAAATAGAAATCTATACAAATGAATTTGTTAATGAGTACTTTTTGAAGAATTACATAAAACTGCTCTAGAGAAAGGTGCTTTTCAGCAGTTTTATACTTCCAAACATCTACTGTTCACAGTCAATCACATTGGAAGGCCAAATTTTACGTTTGTTTTCACTATTGCTATTACAGCAACTAAAGAAACAGAAAGCATGGGAGGGCTGACAGTCAGACACAAAGCCAAACTCTCCTGCCCCAGAGTCATTTTTCATTTCAGCAATAATGCAGCATGTTCAATAGTTTAAAAATAGGTCACCAACCATATTTCTACTTCCCAGTAGTGGCCTGACTCAGCTCCAGCCAACAGGATGACAATGGTTATACAGCTTAATGCAGCCAGGCACAAACCTGAACGTTCTCACCTGCTACATGCTGCTTTCTGGGTAGGGGCTACTTTATACTAGATCAAAGCCATGCCATTGGTCACCTCCAATGTACATGAACACACCCAACCCGCAAGCTAAAAGCTCCAGCCCCATCTCCATCTCCAGATTACCTTTGCCTACCCAAACAAAGACAGGACTGGTGCAGCAACTGCCCCTTGAACCCTGGTAGTAAGTCACAACTGCTTCCATATAAGAACAGTCTCTCCTTTAAGTCCCATCTGCCCTGCAGAGATTGCTGCTTCCTTTCCTCTGATTCCACTTGTTCTCAGAAGACTATCAAGCCTGAATACCTGATCCCTTGGAAGATGCAGTATAATCCCACCCATAAAGAGTCTGGGACATAAAGGCAGCCAGCTGCCTTGTAGGCACACTCGAGGTTCCCATTACATACAAATATTTCAGCAAACCTCTATTAAGCTGTCAGTGACTTTTCTTGAGCCACAGTGATTTGGTCCACAAGTACTACATTGGCACCAGAGACGTTTTAGTCAAGAGGAAACTGAATGAAGGAAACAATTTCAGCAATCACACAACTATTTTTGCATCACTGAGGAAAGAGGAAGAAAGGCAAAGATGGATAAGAGAGGGAGGGAGGAATGGAAGGAGGGAAGAAAAGCAATTTAATAACTGAAATTTGTTAAAATATTGTATCGTTCTTAATTCTTTTTCAGTACCTCAGGTCAAATACCCTTCAATCTCAGACCCAAGAAATAATAAAAAATTTCTAGAAAAGTTATAAATTCTTTGGACATAAATAAGGTACTAAGGAATATAGCTTCATGAGATTAAGAGCTTTCCTAAAGCTCAAGGTGAAAAGGAGTGAAAGGCATCTGAGAATGCATCCAATAAAATGGCTTTTAAAACAAAGAAATAACAAATAAAAACAATAACTGAATCCCCCCCCAACACTATCAAAACAGAAAAAAACCAAAGTTATCCATGAAAACTAACAAACTAACATCAATCCACCAGGATTGATAGTACTTTAAAAAAAAAAAAAAAAAAACACTGGCAGTTAAGCACAGATTTCATGTTTTTTAAAAAAATGGAACCTGCCTACACACACAGAATGAGCATTGGAGCCCGCCTGGTTCTGCCCATTTACTGTGCTGTATAAGCTGATCGGTTGGTTAGTGGTTTCCCCGTAGTATTAAATAAGAGGAAGAGAGTGTGTGCCTAGCACTCTCTCAGAAGGCACAGCTTGCAAACATATCATCCAGTGAGTGGGATTAGAGGTATCAGTCAGGACACGGGATTAGTTGGCTTTCATAATTCAAAATGCAGTAAGCAAACTGCAAGTTCAAGCTTTGCTGTGAGTAGTAATAACGCCCACTAAAAATAAACTTCTGGGTGGACGACAGGAGAACTCTGGATCCTTCAGAGGAATCCTAGGTTGAAAGAGAAACAAGAGCATTAACACATTTTTAAATAGTTCTTCTGGTAAACAAAAACTAGAAAATCTGTCTGGTTCAGTGGCTCATGCCTGTAATCCTAGCACTCTGGGAGACCAAGGTGGGTGGACTGTCTGAGCTCAGGAGTTATAGACTAGCCTGAGCAAAAATGAGTCCCCATCTCTACTAAAAATAGAAAAACTTAGGGTGTCGGCTCCATATGCTGGAGGTGGTAGGTTCAAACCCAGCCCCTGCCAAAAATAGCAAAAAAGAAAAAAGAAAAACTAGCCAGGTGTTATGGCACACACCTGTAGTCTCAGCTAATCCACAGGCTGAGGCAAGAGGATTGCTTAAGCCGAAGAGTTTGAGGATGCTGTGAGCTATGATGCCATGGCACTCTACCCAGAGCAATAGAGTGAGACGGTCAAAAAAAAAAAAAAAGATAGAATATCTATCCTTATTATTTACTTCAAACTGAGTGTTGCGGAGTTTGAGAATTTATGACTCTCTAGTAAACATCACCCAGTCTGCTTGAAGAATCTCACCTCGCTAAATCACCTTAACAGCAATAACAGCTTACACTTAGAAAGTGCATTACTTTGTGCAGGGTGCTGCTCTAAGTTCTTTATGTACATGTATCTTATTCACCCTCATACCAGTATATGAGGTACTACTTCCCTTCCATAGAGAATCTGCAGGCTATACAAATTAATTTGCCCCAGGATATACAGCTATTAAGCAACAAAACTGAGAACTGAACCCAAGCCTAAATAAACACATCTCACACTCTCACCAGCACAACTCCTGTCGTCAGTGAGCATTCACTAAATGCCTACCAGACACGAAGCACTGTGGAAGGAAGAGAAGAGCAGGGGCAGTAGCCACAACTACATTAAGACTGACCTTTGTCTTCCAGAAGAGAAACTAGCTACAGGAAGAAGATGATACTTGTGAAGTAAACACAATAAATCATATTAAATGTCAACATCTCAGCAGAGTCAATAAGAGTTCAAAGGCAAATGTAATTATATCTGGCTGAGTTAGCCAGAGAAAGTTCCAAAGAGGACGTGAGATTTAGGCTGGACTTTGAAGAATGGGTAAGATTTGTCCTCCTGAAAATAACGTCCATTAGTAAGTAAGCACTAAATCAGTTGTTCTCATCTAGGTGATTATTTTTCCTTCCCTGGCCTAGGGACATCTGGCAACACTGGTAGCATTTTTGGTTATGAAAACTGGGGGAAGGATGCTACCAGCATCTACTAGGTAGAGGCCAGCGATGTTGCTAAACATCATACAACACAGGCCAGGCCTGATGGCTCACACCTGTAATCTTAGCACTCTGGGAGGCTGAGGTAAGAGAATTCCTTGAGCTCAGGAGTTCAAGACCAGCCTGAGCAAGAGTGAGACACCATCTCTACTAAAAATAGAAAAACTAGCTGGGTGTCACGATGGGGGCTGTAGTCCCAGATACTCAGGAGTCTAAGGCAGTAGGATCCCTTGAGCCCAGGCATTTGAGATTGCTGTGAGCAACGCTAACACCAGCGCACTCTAGCCTGGGGCAACAGAGTGAGACTCTGTCTCAAATAAATAAATAAATAAATAACCATCTGGTGAATAAATTCAAAGCAAGGACCTGGCCTTGTAATTTTTACATCACTTCTGACTATAATTTAAAAAATGCTACTGACTAACTCGAAGCAGGAAAGAACTGCATTCAGCAAGAACAGAGAAAAAGCACAATTAGTACCTTTTTTCCCCTCTTTCTTCCCCTCAGACCACTTCAGTTTTGTTGGTGTCATCATGACAGCTGGAGAGCCAGAAAATAACTGCAATAAGAAAATGTTACAGTGGCTTAAATGTGCTAACGTCATTCCTATTGACATACTTTACTAACAAAGAGGAATTATTTGTTCAATTTTCAATGTAAAGACTGAAATATTTATATTTCATTATTCTTAACTGATTACCTGGGATACCTTGAAGGGCTACCCCACAGGTAATGCAGCGTCAAGAAGGCCTGGACCAAATAACACCTGCCCTGTGGAGCTTCTCCGTAAGAATTAACCACTCTCTCCAGGACTTGTTTATGGAGCTATATTGTACTGAATTGGTCACTTGTATGTGACTACTTGTACCCTTCTTGAAATCAAAGTATGTTTGTGAAATGAATCAATGAAAACCTACAGAAAGAAAATAGCACAGACGGAAGGATTAATAGAGAACAAGGTATCTGAATGGCCAAAGAAATACAGTAAAACAGATGACGGAATATCAACTTTCCTCCCTCCTACATATGTACACAAACAGAGACAAAATCCAAAGAATGGTATCTTACTAAGTTCATATTTTCTTTGCTGGTTCTCTTCAATTCACCGATGGCCACAGATTCTGGGGTAGGGTATTTGTTTTTCTTTTCTGACATCACCTGATTTCCCAGGACCTTCCGCTAATTTAGGAACAGAAAATAGATGATTTATAAACATCTGTTTTAGCTATATTAAAGCCATATGGCCTTCAAAATTATAATTTCTTTAGAACAAAAAACCCTCACCCTTTTCTGATGATAAACTCTACATAGACCCTTCCAGGTCATCTTATTCAAGAGAGGCCAAAGCTATTACCAAAAACGCCTGAAATTATTGCCTTTCTTTTTTTTTTTCTTTTTTTTTTGAGAGAGAGTCTCACTATGTTGCACCCAGTAAAGTGCTGTGGTGTCACAGCTCACAGCAACCTCAACTTCTCGGACATAAGTGATTCTCTTGCCTCAGCCTCCCAAGGAGCTGGGACTATAGGTGCCTGCTACAACAACCAGCTATCATCATTGTATCACATCAACAAATAGCTGTCACTGTTGTTTAGCAGGCCTGCACCAGGCTCAAACCTGCCAGCTTCAGCTCGGCGCTTGTGGCTCAAGCGGCTAAGGCGCCAGCCACGTACACCTAAGGTGGCAGGTTCGAATCCCCAGCCTGGGCCTGCCAAACAACAATGATGGCTGCAACCAAAAAATGGCCAGGCGTTGTGGCGGGCGCCTATAGTCCCAGCT